TGTGTGTGTGTGTGTGTGTGTGTGTGTGTGTGTGTGTGTGTGTGTGTGTGTGTGTGTGTGTGTGTGTGTGTGTGTGTGTACGTGTGTGCATAGTGAAATGTCAAACCAATGTGCCAGGACCTGGGCAATAAAAACTTATCTCTAAATGGATCCCACTGTATACTTCAAACTGTACCAGTACAGAGTAAAAACGGATCAAACAATTCCACTCATAAGAACAAAACAGACGAAAACAGGAACTTTAAAAGAAAAATTGTTTGAAGTGAATTGATCAAAGACTATTGTTACTAGGTGAACATGAGTAAGAATAGCTTCTGTTTATTTATGTGTTTGTAAGCACGACAGGTCTAGTTCTGTTAAGTTTTGATGTAATTTAGAATTGTATTAATAGTAATAGGTGATTAGCAGGAAATAAGGATGAAACTGACAAGTCCACTCTCCAGAAGACTTTCCTGCATCAAGGTGTCAGTGGTGTAGCGGTTCGATGCCGTTACACACAGGAAAAATGACTTCAATTCATTTGTGCGGTATACAATTTTTATCAAGCACTTCTGTCTTTTTTCTAGGACTTTTTATCCCTCTCTGTTCGGGTTGGCAATGACATGCAGGATCGGTTGCTTGTTTGTTTGTTTGAGCAAAGAGAAGTAGATTAACTCAATTCTAGTCATTAAGTGCTGGTAAACAGACAGGAACAACGGAGGGAAAGTAAAGAAGTAAGACCTACCAGTGGTGCCCTCCAACCATCCGCCAGGCAGGGTTGAAGTAGCTTGCCCCCTAAATAAATGTAACCAGTAACAATGTCACTGGAAGAATAAAATTTCTACATATTTTTTAAAGAAGGGAGTGAGAAATCTACAAACAGACAAAAGCAAATAAACCCCTACCGCCACTCTCTTTAGCAGTTGAAGTCCCAGTGAACACAGCAGCATTCAGATGATGCACGGAAGAACTGCAGGAGTTCAACGAGTCTGCAAGAAGTCTTGCCAAAGCTCTGGTACGCACAAAAATGATGCACCGAGAAGATGGGCCTTTGGCAACCAAATACTCAAGGAGAACTTTCTCAAGATTTTGAAGATTTTTGTTTCTCGACACTGGGCAGCTGGGATCCATCTGCAAAAGCTCTATGTAAGACAAAAGAAATAAAATTGACCGAATTAAATTAGGATAGAATTCCTATGTTCACTGCAAAAAACACCACAGCTAACAGGGTTAAAAGGGAAGCATAAAAAAAATGATGCTCGGGAGAAGAAATGTGCTATGCCAGACAAAATGGCAAAAATGGTCTGCGTCATCAGGGCAATAAAAATAAAAGTGATCACAGACCGATAGGCAAAGTACAGTGATCTGCTTTTGTTATGAGAACAACTCAATCTGTTTGACACAATCAAGTAATCTGCTGAACCAATGAAGCTGAAATTTAAAAAAATGTTCCAGGTGTCTAAAACAAAAAAAAATATCGTTAGTTCTTATAAAGGCTTTCAATTCCATATTGTATGAATTTGCAGGGTCCTAAAACATCATTTCTGCAACATTATGGTATACTTTAACACTTTGCAGTCACAAGGCCAGCATTACAAAATGTCCCATCTGGTCATATAGCCTGAAGAGTGACTGCAACGGACCTCTTCGGCCTGGTGCAGAACTGCAGAACTTTTTTGGGGCCTTTTTTTAGTACATGATGTTCGACCATAGGACAGGAGGAAACTCAACACCCTTAATGAGTTAACATATAACTTTTTTTTTCATTCAATCTCCCTTTACCACCAGGTACACAACGCAGAGAGCAGTAAATGCCACACATGTCTGTCCCTAGCCTCTTCCTTTAACTCTGATACATCCAGGCCTTGGGCGATTGCCTCATCCCTGATCACACTCGTATAGCTGGTCTATCTTTTCTTTCTTTTTTTCATATAGTCTCCAGTACCATGTCTGATAGGGCAATCGCATCTTAGGCATTCTCAAAACATTTCCCAAATATCTCCATCTTCTCGTTTTATGGTCATGTTGTTATCTTCAATCCCAGATCTTTCCAATACTTCATTACTCGTGACAAATTAATTCTATTTTATTAATAAAATTCTTTAGAGACTTTTTTTAAGCTTTTTAATTTTCGTTGAATCTATTGTTTGTTTTCCAAATCTCAGAAGCAAACATCAGTATCACCAAAACATTGCTGTTATACATTTTTAATCAGTCTTTAGCAAGATGATGTTTGAATTTCAAATGATTCTTAATTTTACAAGTAAACCCTGCATGATATCTAACAACAGACCTTTTGCATGAGTGTGGTTCAGGTTCATATAAGTTGTCATTTGGATTTACATAGCTCAGTATCCAATGGATGAGATTCAGTACTCTGCTGGTGATGCCAAAACCCAAGGATAGAAGTAAATTATTGTCATACTTTGTCCATTTCTGGGTCATTAAGAATTATTATTGCAGATTTCTCAAGTGGGGAGAAGGAAGATTTTGCCATGACAGGTTTCCGTCTTGGACAGGATTCTGTGTTGGACAGGTTTCCATATATCGGTAGGTTTGACTGTACAGTGAAAGATTGTTGTACCGTCCCACGTTATACTGCCAGCCACGCTTGCCCCCAGGTTTTGCCAATGTACAGAAAGGAGACCTTATATAAACATAGTATTTTGGCCTTCACACCACTTCCGCCAACTGTCTGACCTGTGCAGTCCTTATCTAATTTTACTAATGTAAATTGGCCCAGCCAAACAGCCATCTTTCTCCCATGAGAAAGACATAGACACAAAGAGAGAGAGAAGACTCTCGATTCTGAATACATTTGCATGCACATGTATATCACCACCAAGAAGACACTTTTCAAACACAGATTGCACAGCAGAATCATGTACCGTGACGTTGGGCAATCCGGGCTATATTATAGAAGAGCCCCATTGAACCTCCAGCTTCGCCGTTCCACCAACTTCATGCTCATCCCAAGGGTGCCGGTATAACGGGATTTGACTGTACATATCATTAGTTCCTTTCTGTACAATGGAGAAAAGCATAAGCGCAAAGAAATAAATTGCTCGAGTAACTGAACCAACAGACAGGGCAGCTTTGTCAATAACTATGTCCCTGGCCATCTTCTTCTTCAAGCACCAGATCTTGGCAAAAATCTTATCATGGTATTTTCCAAACACCCGTCAGTTCAGGTTCTCTTAGTGAGTTATTTTTATATCTACCTTTGCTTCTTCTGTCTCTTATTTTTCCTATAAAGGAAGATTATAGATACATCCACTTACTGTTTAAAAACTCATTTGGTAAGTCCATGCTTTCTTCTTGTAGGAACGTCTGAACTTCTTTAATATCTGCCAAATCATACAGCTCCAGAGCATTACTGCAAACCTGAGGAGCCACACAGTATCTCAGCTCTCAGGGTCAGTAGTGTAGTACTAATAAAATCACCCATAAAGGAAAAGTTCCAACATTGATAAAACACTACAAAATATTAACAGGTCACTTTTAGAAGATCAAACAAATACAGGTCTAGAGCATAGAGTGCTGATATGAAGGCCAGAAGAATAACTTTTTGTTTATGGGTATGTTGGTCTTTTATGAGGGGGTTTTTCAGTGTTAAATATTAGAACATACAAAAATGTGACACATAGATAAAAAAGAGGATTGCGAAATATATCTACAGAAACTTTCAACAAGATAAAACACGTCCTCTCAAACAGAAACCTAGTACAAAAATAAGAACCATGAAAGTGTACATGTGATCAATCCTTTTTGTGTGAACCCAAGAGTTGGAATATAAACAAGGACCCAGAGAAAGGATTGTAGGCCGTTGAAAAGCATTTAAGGAGAATACTCAGAATCTCACGGACAGAGGAAAACAAATAGAAAAAAGTTTCAAATAGTAGATTGTGAAAGATCTGTAATCAGAAACATCAGAAAGAGATAAATGAGATTATTTTGCTACATAAATAAATCAAATGGACAATAGAAATAGCTGCTGTGCTGAAATATAGAGGGAAAGAAAAGAAGAGGAAGACCAAGAACAACAGACACAGATGGCCTGAACAATTTTGTACCCTAACAAATAAAGCAATGGGTAAAACTGAGCTTGTCAGGAAGACAGACAATAGGTAGGCGTGGGGTACCATGATCGTCAATGTCTACTCCAGACCTGACACCTGAAGAATTTAGAAGAACACTCTGTGGCAATGTCCCATCTAATAATAATAATAATAATAAATAGCATTTGTTTAGCGCATATCCCCACTCGAAAGCAAGCTCTATGCGCTTTACACTAAAGTATTCCCCCAGCAGAACACTCAGAACCATTTTCAGCTTCCCGGGAAGCATACAGTGCAAGCAGCCGGTTAAACGCTCACACACTAACAAACTGACAAGATCTTTCACTGTCTATAGCTGGGTACCCATTCCCACCTCGGTGAAGTGGGGAAAATTCGTGTAAAGTGTCTTTCCCAATGACACAACGTCGGGCTGGCGGCTCGAACCCCCGAACCCGCAACCTCACAATTACGAGTCCGGTAGCCTAACCACTAGAGGTGACACCTCCTTCGGTAGAACCGGGAGTTCCGGAACTGGGTACCGGTACCTACCCATCCCTATCATCTAACACCATTCTATGGCAGTGCCCTGTCTGTTGTCTGACACCATTCTATGGCACTGTCCTGTCTGTTGTTTAACACCATTCTATGGCACTGTCCTGTCTGTTGTCTGACACCATTCTATGGCACTGTCCTGTCTGTTGTCTGACACCATTCTATGGCACTGTCCTGTCTGTTGTCTGACACCATTCTATGGCACTGTCCTGTCTGTTGTTTAACACCATTCTATGGCACTGTCCTGTCTGTTGTCTGACATCATTCTATGGCACTGCCCTGTCTGTTGTCTGACACTATTCTATGGCACTGTCCTGTCTGTTGTCTGACACCATTCTATGGCATTGTCCTGTCTGTTGTCTGACATCATTCTATGGCAATGCCCTTTTTACAGTCTTGCACCACTGACAAGGAAATACGTAAAATGTAAGCATATACAATGTGTAAGAGTTATAACAAAAAGAAGATGAGGAAGAAGAGATGCATGGGTCAGGAAAAACAGAGACTGTATATATATATACATATATATATATATATATATATGTATATATATATATATATATATATATATATATATATATATATGTACACAGTCAAACCTGCCCTGACTGCCACCTCTATAAGACGACCACCTGTACAAACGGCCACTTTCCATTTCCCCCCTTGCGTTTTTTCTATATAATTTAACTGTGTAAAACGGGCTCCTGTCCAACGCGGCCGTGGCCACCATAATTTAACACACAACCCCTATCACAGTAAGCAATAACACCTGTCTTAGATGGCCACCTTAGTGACTCCACTACGTTTTGTCATAAATTGTGCATTGGGCCCTGGCGTTGTAGGCGAGCCGTCATAATTCAATCACCAGTCGTTGTTGTTCGGTAGTCCCTCCAACCGATCATGTTGCGTAGGCCCCTCCCACTGTTGACCAATAGCTACCAATTTTCAGCTGCTGGTGAGGTAAGCGTGTGATCCATTTTTATTGACTGACAGCAAGAGAAAAAATGGTCTACTCACGCATAATAGCTCTGCCAGGGAGATAAGAAGAATCTTATCTTTGATGTTATCATCTTGAGGCTTGATATGTTCTTCTGCAACTTGTTTCAAAATGACAATTCTTTGTCTGTAGGCTTGAAGTTTTCTGTCACCAGGCACATACTGTAGTCCTTTAAGAACAGCTTCCCATCCATTTCCTACAGAAAGTAATTTAACATAATGTTATAACAATGGGATTGCTGGAAATAGACACACAAAAAAGCAGTGCAATACAAGCATAAAATAGATCTTAAGCTCTTTTTGATTTCACAGTTAGTGAAAGAGTCTATAGCTGTAGAACACGAGACAGAATATTATTATAATGAGTCTGACTGGGTATTTTTTCAATGAGATCAAGCTTTAGAAATCCCAAACAGCCTTAACAACAAAGTGACAAGTTGAGAAGAACCATTATCGCCACAGTTAAAACACATTCACCTTAGTCATTTTCTTTAGGTAAGTGAACATAAAGGGTTATCGTTGAATGTGAAGAAAACAGAATGCATAGCGATACCTAAATAAAGCAGTAAATCCTATTTGTTATCTCACAAGGAAAGGCGAAAAGATCAAACACTTTCAAAAGTTCAAATATAATAAATCGGATATATAATTACACCTGATGCCAAATGCAATGCTCCACAGGTATAAAAATGAAGAATGCAATGGCAAAGGATAGTTCCAATAAAATGAGCCCAATCCTCAAGAATAGGAACATCTCAATGACTACATGTACTGAAATGAAAGTTCTGAAAAGCAATGTTTGGTCAAGCTTTCTACACGTCAGGGTTTTTGTACTTTTAGGTAAGTGTTTTACAGCGCTCGAAACTGTATAAGATCATATGAGCGTGCAGGACACATTAAACATTTTCAGTTGGTAGAAAATTTTGAATTTTGCACGGGTGGCGGCCGAAGCCTACTTTTATAGATTTTGGAAACTCAAGGGATCTTTAATGTGCGCAACTTACACACGTGATCTCGGATATTTTTCATCGTTATCTGAGAAAGCTAGGCGTAGATCTTTCCTACTAGAAGATCAGGGGTGTGGCTGAAAGACAGCAATAAAAAGGAGCCAAGGAGTAGCAGTAGAAAGGTTGCAGAAAGAGTCGGTAGCCCAGAGGAGGTGGCAAAGGAGGTGAGGTGGTGGGGGTAGAAAGTGAAGACGAAAACAAACAACAGAGCATAGTTAGAAAGCAGGAAAGGATATGAAAGGAGAATGTTTAAAAGAAAAAGATTTTCCGCCGCTATGCAAATAAGAACCCGGGACCTTTTGTTTGTTTTAGTATAGGTTTTACGGCACTCGCAACTGCATAAGGTCATATGAGCGCCAGAAGATTAGAGATGTTACAAGAGAGTAACAAACATAAAAAAGAAGGGGGAGATAAGGACGATAGATCTTTAATAGGAGAGAAGGAGCAAACCACACCAGAGCTCCCGCCAACCACCAACGCCGGGACCTTTAAATGAGAGGCAAACACCTTAACCTCTAGAACACGAGAGCCCCGTATATTAACATGTCTTGCTTTAAGGATATACCACAGTGACCTCCCACCTCCATGCCATATCACCAACATTTTGCAACTTTATTCATGAGCCTGAACTCACTAGCCTCTCTGTTTCTGGAATGCTACAGCTAAGAGAGAAAGCTAAAACATACCTGTCCCTGTCGTTTTATGCAAGAAAAATTCTGAAATTATGCAAACTGAGCCCAAAAATGTGAAATTATGCGATTCTGTAAATTTTAACAAAGAATGATAGAGGAAAATAATCTGAAATTATACCAAAAAACGATAATAAAACTACGGGGACAGACATATTTACCTGTGGCACAGTCTTTAATCTTGTTTGAGAGAAAGCTGAAATATACTTACTCTTGGCAATGCCTTTTATTTTGTTCTCAATGTCTTCCATGCAGCTATTCATGCTTGCAACAAAATTATCTGATTCCCTTGGCTTTAAATCGACAGTCTCTGGAAACAGAAGTAAAACAGAATTAATTGGCAGCTACATTATTTATATTATTTTTTTATAACATTAAAAGTGCAGATCTTTAATGTCTCCGTCAGCACAATTCGGAACATTTAGGAGGTGAGCTTCTTTAACCCTTTCTGATACCATGTCCTAGATATTCGATTAAGAAAAAAAAATTCCCACATGGGATTCAAACTCACGTCTTCTGCATGCAACAGCGAAGCACCTTAACTGCTACACCACAGAACTCGTCCAGAAGCCCAAAGGGGTGAAATGTTTGTTGGTTCTTTTCTTTTGGTAAGCGATTTTGGGTAGATGTTTTACGATACAATTTTGGTCGTTTAAGCGCCATCAAGTTTCACCGCTACAAAATCAGACGTGTTTTTAATAAGAGTCTTTCGGAGCTCGCAACCGCAAAC